AGATTGCAGCTCTAGGTGTTTAGAAGACTTTGCATTTTGTCAGCGTCCTCGCCTAGAAGGAGTATATCGTCTGCATATTCTAAGTCAACGAGATTATTCCCTGGTAGCAAGTCAATCCTTGAGTCGCTGAAGTGAGTTAGGCTTAAGTCCAGTAGTACATCTATGATGAATTTGTCATAAACAACTGATTATATGCATCAAAATGTAAAGCTAGGTTAGGAAATATCAGATAGAAAGTAAGAAGAAGATTTATGCGTTAACTGCAGATAGTTAAAACAATGACAGCTAGTGAAAGCCTAAGAAAGAGAGAAGAGGCGGGGAATCGTTGGGTGTTTATCATCAAGTTATGATGGTCAAGGTAGGGAAAGCTTCTGTATGAATTTCTTTTGAACACACAATTTTCGCTTCTTAGGATGTATTCCAGCGAATTCAACTATATTTAGGAGATGAACTCTTAAAGCAAGATTAAGATTAACTTTAGGAATATGGTGTAGATGACTTCAGTATGTACAGTGGTGTGGTAAAACAAAACTACAAATAGTTCTTGTTTATTGCTTATTTAACCACACAGGATGATGTATTTTGAAATCCAATAATAAGCCTACCTAATTGTACACTCAAGGTAACTGATTGTTTCCACAGGGACAGTTAAATACAGGAAGTTATTGGAAAGAATATTATTTAATTCAATATATTTATGTCTTCTAAATTGGAAATTAACTTCAACAGTGAATGCCTTAATGTTGTTTCGGCATCCAGATTTGAGGGTAATATAAAGATTTTTATTAAATATCAACAACAGCATAGCGGGGATTTCACATATTTGAATAATAATTTAAATATTCGCATAATGATAATTATAAAACACGATTTAGGCAAATACGTATTTTCGGGAAATTCTCATCAGGCTTGTGGAGTACGTAACACTTTTTGTTAGTTGTAGAAATTAGAGACATTGTACATGATTTTTGTTTAAAACCATTGTTGTTAAAAAATACATATAACATCCGTGTACAATTGGAAATACACTACACTTGTGGTGGACCTTTCACTCTGTTAGCTTAGTTACCCAAATTCAAGTAGAAAATAAAATACCAAATCAGCTTAGTTACGGGAAGAATATATTAAAGTTTCGTTACTTGGGTTTACAAAGATCCAAAAATCCACAATAAACGTAATAGACTCCAGAGGCGCTGCGGGAAGACTGCTCCAGTACTAATTCTCCAATGTTGACGTTGCCGGAGGTCGACCAAAGTGCGTAGGAAGAAACTACGGTGCTCCTGCAAAAATTTGAGATAGAAAGCAGGTGATTAAAATTGATCGACGGCAGTTGAGACGGTGGAGAAGACGGAGAGTCCGAGTCAGAACTATATATTTATTCAAAACCCGAGGTAAAGTTCAAAGTACAGAGTTTATGGTTAAAACAAAGTGATGTACTGTAGTACCCCTATACCAACTGTAAACATGCTTTTTAATCTAATTTGTATACTTGTATTATATGGGTATACAGACCGATTTTATATGTACTTCACAAATATTTGTCAATTTACTGTTGAACATTACCTTGACACAATTTCGAATTTGACTACTGCTTCAATACACATTCGTAATCTTCTCAAGCGCCTTTTGATTTACGTTGTGGGCGTCGAGTAGCCACAACGTCTGCGCACATCAATAAGAACGAAGAAATACATAGAATATATGTGTACAGCAGTTTAGTCAGACAACGCACGCGACAGTACAATATGTTCATTTCTTACATATTAGTAAAATTTGGATAAGTTTATTTTTGAGGAATCCACATACTTTTGGAGTCTTCGCCTTCTTCCTGGCCATTTCCGCTTACTCGCTCCACTCATACCGTGTTGTATACATTGGATTTATTACAGGAATTTATTATCCTTATCCGAAAACAACTCTACAACTGGCACACAGCATCTACCAGCAGACGCAAATCCAAAAGTGAACGCTTCCTTGGATTATATAAATAATTTGTAGCAGAGGACTTAAACTTTATATCCAAGTTTTATCCTTCTTAATACTATAACTCGTTACTGCATTTTTTGATAATGTATTGTTAGTCAATATCTAACTGACTTGGATTATTATTCTCATATTTGTAATGTTAATGACCTCTACCCTACAGGCTTGCACATTTACAAGATGGAATATTACTCACAGATATTTGAATTATCGTGGTTCATCAAATATAGACTCAGAGTTGAGGGATATGAATTAAAGGATAGCAATGAAGGTGATAATAATAATAATAATAATAATAATAATAATAATAATGGGGATAAATTCATCCAAGTGTTTATACAATCTAGGCAACGGTGAGTGTATAGGTAGAATGTGGGTACAAGTAGGAGTAGAGGGGAAAATAACTGTTGTCACATAATGATTAGATAATACAATAGTATTAATGATGATAAGTTGTGAAACCGAGATGAAATTGCACAACTACAGCACAGCATGATATTGACAATACAGTTAGCATTACAATAAAAATAAAAATATCATATTTACAGTTATCCGGTGTTACCGGGACAGATAACTGTTTTAGGTTTGGGTAGAAGGCCATGAGAGGCAGAGACATTGGATAAACCTTTTCTGAAAAAAGAGATTGGGTTCAAAATTGATGATGGTAACTGCCTCAGTTGAGCTTAGTAACTGATGATGTAGCAAACTAGGATAGTGATAGGATCCCACACACTTTGTTATTGACTGTTAATCTCGCATAAATGGTATATCATCATTCCCACACACTTTGTTATTGACTGTTAATCTCGCATACATGGTATATTATCATTTCTCACGCACTTTGTTATTGACTATTACGGTCAATTATTTCAAATGCTGTTAGATGTCGATATTGTTGTAAAAATATAAAAATACCATGACTTTCTTTGTCGTTGTTGTTTGTACTACAATACAGAGTCACAGTTCGGACTTTGTCATTTGATGTTTGCGTGCTTCACTGAATCGGAAGGTACCACAAGCAGATAGGCAGATTAGTTCAGGCGCAGACAGAGCAAGGTGAAAACGTCTTCATTCAATTCTCAACAGTTATAACAAATTGGCGACGGGGTTTAACCTTAATTCATTCCAGCTATAACAAACAAGCGACGACGGGTTTTATTCTGTTCAGCGAAGCAATAGCACATTTTTGACTGTGTTAATTACAACCCAATTACAATGTCTATCTCTCTGGACGATCTCAAATCTATCTTGCAGCAGCAAGTTCAGAATGAAGCAGCTCAACTAAAATTAATCGAAGCTCTCACTCAGAAGCTGCCCATTCAAGTTCCATCAACATCTCATTCACACAAATATGAAAGCATCTCAAATTCCATCAGTGAGTTCAACTACGACCCAATATCTGGTCTCGTATTTGATGCATGGTTCAATCGTTACGAAGACGTTTTCCGTATTGAATGCTACATGTTTGATGATGCTGCCAAAGTCCGATTGTTACTAAGAAAACTTGGTACTGTTGAGCACAACAGATATGTTAACTTCATTCTGCCCAAGAACCCACGTGAGTTATCATTTGATGAGACAGTCACCGTTTTATCACAAATCTTTGGTGAACAGTCATCCATGTTTAATATTCGGTAACAATGTTTTCAGTTGACAAAAATGCCTTCCGATGATTATGTCACTTACTCTGGAAAAGTGAACAAGAAATGTGAAAGGTTCAAATCACACGAAATGACATCAGATCAGTTCAAGTGTTTGATTTTTATTTGTGGGTTGAAGAACCCAGAAGATACTGACATAAGAACTCGACTTCTGTCGCTCATGGAACAAGACCCGAAAATGACTTAACAAATGGTGACAGCAGAATGCCAACGCTTAATCAACTTGAAGCACGATACTGCTATGGTGGAGTGCAAACGACAGTCGTCTGAATTTGGTTCAATTAACACAGTGAAAAGTCCTTCGATCACCGTTAAGCACACAGCACGTCAGTCTCAGAATTCAGCTAAACCTCCTTCAGTGTGCTGGCACTGTGGTTCGTGGCATTTTGTCAAATTCTGTCCGTTCAAGAAGCATAAGTGCCGTAATTGTCACCGTTTTGGACATAAGGAGGGTTACTGTCCACCGCAGAAAAATTCTTCGGTGAGGAACAGAAGTAGTCGTTTCAAGCCGAAACAATCTCCTCGAGTGCAGACCATTTTCACAACTTCCAAAGTCGATTTCGCCAGCAAACGTAAGTACATTACACTAGGTATTAACGGCAAACATATTCGTCTTCAGTTGGATACGGCATCAGATATCACCTTAATTTCCCGAACTACGTGGCGAAAACTTGGGTGCCCACAGATTCTGCCGACCGAGCATGTCGCCAAGAATGTCTCTGGAGATATACTGAAACTCGTGGGTGAGATAAATTGCCAGGTTCAGTTTGGTGAGTATCACTTCAATGGTGTATGTTACTTCACAAACTACCATGATTTGAATTTGCTTGGTCTCGACTGGTTAGACAAGCTCCATATCTTCAATGTACCATTAAATTCAGTATGCTCTAACGTTTCGTCCTCACCACATAACGTTGTTCCCGGACATGTATCTGATCAGTCTCTCTTGCAACGCCTGAGTCAAAAGCACGCTTCTGTCTTGCAGGACAAACTTGGTTGCTGCAAATTTACCCAAGTTGTTTTGTCTCTAAAGCCAAACGCGAAGCCAATTTTTCGTCCAAAACGTCCAGTTCCGTGTGCTGCTGTTGTGGTGAGAGCAGGCTGCTAGCCGATTGGTTGGCACTAATCTACGTTAAGGTCTAGGTCACTAATATGGACCGCGAGAAAATATGAACAAGGCTGAGTTAACAACCAATCACAGCAAAGTTAACGTGGCAAAATATGATTCGCAGATAGAGAACTCTATTTGTCAAGGAATCCCGAAACAACCAATCAGATGACTGCGCTTGTCTATAATAATGTAGTTGAAATATGTATAAATACGTGTTGATTTTCATAATAAAACGATCTGTTGCCTGGCCCTTGTCTTCTGTTGTTACATTTGGTGTCGCTGCCTACCGACAAATGAAAAGCCTATACCCTGCAGTTTTTGATGGAGACATATGGATCTTCGGGCAGGACTTCAAGGCTTCTGCGCAGTTGAGTGGCGTTCAAGATCTGTCAGCGATGGAGCTGCTACTTGAGACGCTGCTGGGAGGTCGGGCGAAAGCAGCATATGAAGGTGTGGGCCGAAGTATGGACGAATGTTCGACAGGGTCAGGCAAACAGTTTCCAAAGTGGGAAGGACCATATATGGTCACTTCGAGATGGGGTTACGCAGACACAGTCGCAATGGCGAACAATGAGAGGCGCGTGAACGTCAGCGAGCTCCAGAAATGGATACAGCGAGACAAGCCAACGATGACGCCTGCACCAAGTAGATCAAGCCGACTTCAGTCGCACGTATTTGACGGGGGGACGAGTGTGGTGAGAGCAGGCTGCTAGCCGATTGGTTGGCACTAATCTACGTTAAGGTCTAGGTCACTAATATGGACCGCGAGAAAATATGAACAAGGCTGAGTTAACAACCAATCACAGCAAAGTTAACGTGGCAAAATATGATTCGCAGATAGAGAACTCTATTTGTCAAGGAATCCCGAAACAACCAATCAGAAGCCTGCGTTTGTCTACCTAACTTCTGATAAACAACCAATCAGATGACTGCGCTTGTCTATAATAATGTAGTTGAAATATGTATAAATACGTGTTGATTTTCATAATAAAACGATCTGTTGCCTGGCCCTTGTCTTCTGTTGTTACACTGTCACATTGGTTGAGAATGAACTCGACAGACTGGAAGCATTGGGTGTCATCAAACCAGTAACGTATTCGCCTTGGGCTGCTCCGATAGTTGTTGTACGCAAAGCAAATGGTTCCATTCGCCTGTGTGCAGATTTCTCAACTGGGTTAAATGATGCTCTAGAGGATCATGCTTATCCATTACCAATTCAAGAAGACTTATTCGTCAAACTTAATGGTGGTAAATGTTTTGCAAAAATTGACCTTGCTGATGCTTACCTTCAAATAGAAGTTGAACCAAAGTCTCGAGAGTTGCTAACAATCAACACTCATAGAGGTCTCTACCAGTTTACTCGCTTACCATTTGGTGTGAAACCAGCACCCGCAATTTTTCAGCAGATCATGGATACTATGCTTGCTAACCAACCTGGTGTTGCTGTCTACCTCGACGATGTGATAATCACAGGGAGTAGTAAGTCTGAATTGTTTGATCGACTTGACGCTGTGCTATCCAAAATGTCAGAGTTTGGGTTCTACCTTAAAGAGGATAAATGTACATTTTTCATGGATTCAGTAAAGTATCTTGGGTTCATTTTTGATCAACATGGACGTCGACCAGACCCAGAAAATGTACGTGCTATTCAGAATATGCCCGCTCCCACTAATGTTGCCACTCTGCGATCTTTCCTTGGCCTCATCAGCTATTACAGTGCATTTCTACCAGAGCTTCATCGCATACGTGCTCCACTGAATCGCCTGTTATCGAAAAATGCAAAATGGAATTGGTCACCTGAATGTCAAAATGCATTTAAAAAAGTAAAATCGTTACTCCAGTCAGACATGCTGCTTACTTATTATGATCCAAGTCTTGAAATCATCCTTGCTGCAGATGCATCCGACTATGGTATTGGTGCTGTTATATCTCATCGTTTTCCTGACGGAAGGGAGAAAGCTATTGCACATGCATCTAGAACACTGAATACAACCGAACGCAAATATAGCCAAATTGAGAAAGAAGGTTTGGCGCTTATCTTCGCAGTCAAAAAGTTTCACAAAATGCTTCATGGTAGGAAATTCACTCTATTTACTGACCATAAACCCCTGTTGTCGATATTTGGTTCGAAAAAGGGCATTCCAGTGTACACTGCGAATCGGCTTCAAAGGTGGGCTGTCATGTTACTGGGATATAATTTTGATATCAAATACAAACCTACCTCTGAATTTGGCCAGGTAGATGCATTATCACGGCTGCTAAGCCATCAGAAGTTGGAAAGCGAGGATGTTGTTATTGCATCCATCTCTGTTGAAGATGATGTAAACAGAGTTCTGGTAGGCGCGACTCAACTTCTTCCGGTGACTGCAGTTGAGGTTGCCAGCCACACACTGCGTGATCCAGTTTTACAGCAAGTATCAAAGTTCATCCGATTTGGCTGGCCTCCACATGTTCATTCAAATGTTTTAAAACAGTTTTACCAGCGACGCCAATCCTATCCATCGTTAATGAATGCATAATGTTTGCTGATCGTGTTGTGGTTCCAGCTAATCTTCGTAACCATGTGCTTCGTCAGCTTCATAAATCACATCCTGGTGTTGGGAGAATGAAGGCGATCGCTCGCAGTTATGTTTACTGGCCCAACATCGATGACCATATCGAAGACCTCGTTCGCAAGTGTAGTAAATGTGCTCAAGCATCAAAGTGCCCACGCAAGACAGAACTATGTTCCTGGCCACGACCGGACAAACCATGGTCCCGTGTTCATGTTGACTTCGCTGGACCGTTCAATAGTATGCATTTCTTAATATGTGTCGACGCGTTTTCCAAATGGCCAGAGATATTTCCTATGCATTCTGCCACATCAATTGCAACAGTGTCCCACCTACGTCAACTATTCTGTCGTTTTGGTATGCCTGATGTTCTGGTGTCCGATAATGGATCGCAGTTCACCTCATCACTGTTCTCAGATTTCTGCAAACTGTTTGGCATCCAGCATATTCGTAGCCCCCCGTATCATCCCCAATCGAATGGACAGGCTGAACGTTTCGTCGACACCTTTAAGCGTGCTTATGCAAAAGCGAAGGGGGAGGGAACAACAGAAGAAATTTTGGATAGATTCTTGCTGCATTATCGTACGACGCCAAATCCTTCCGCCCCAAATCAGTTATCCCCAGCGGAAATTATGTTTGGCCGGAAGATCAGAACTGCCCTCGACTCAATTAAGCCTAGGCAAGTAAAGCAGGGCTGCAGAAATACAAAAATGGAAAACCAATTCAATCGCCATCACGGAGCTAAACGTCGAGTTTTCAAATTGTATCAGCAAGTTTATGTACGAGATTTTCGCTATTCACCTCCGAGATGGATTCGAGGACAAATAGTGGGGCAGAAAGGAAGGGTTTTATACAAAGTGAATGTAGAAGGACAGTTATGTGTCAGACACACGAATCATATACGAGATGCGTCAGATAGACCCGACAATGGGAGACGAGACCTCACGTTAGAAGTATTAGTAGATACATTTAATCTTCCGCAGCCGGAAGCCCGGGACACAGATCACACTCTATCCAGTACCACGCGAAGGTCAACTCGACAAAGAAGAGCTCCGAAACCTTTTCAAATAGATCCAAAAAGCAAGTCCTACACTTTTTACGGGGAGAGGTGATAGGATCCCACACACTTTGTTATTGACTGTTAATCTCGCATAAATGGTATATTATCATTCCCACACACTTTGTTATTGACTGTTAATCTCGCATACATGGTATATTATCATTTCTCACGCACTTTGTTATTGACTATTACGGTCAATTATTTCAAATGCTGTTAGATGTCGATATTGTTGTAAAAATGTAAAAATGCCATGACTTTCTTTGTCGTTGTTGTTGTACTACAATACAGAGTCACAGTTCAGTCTTTGTCTTTTGATATTTGCGTGCTTCACTGAATCGGAAAGGTACCACAAGCAGATAGGCATATTAGTCAGGCGCAGACAGAACAAGGCGACAACGTCCTCATGTAATTCCCTACAGTTATAGCAGGAGGTGAGGTAGGACCTTGTATAGAATTAGAAAGCCTGAATTTTGATCAGTTTTATGTCCCGTCTCCAATGGGTTTGTCAGTATGGAACTTCTGATTGACTTTACGACTCCTCTATTTAATTAATTCGGACAATGCTCCAGAAGACGGAGGTGGACTTGTCGAATCGTTCTACCTATGTAACTGTCTGCACATGAACAGATACGACACACACACACACATGATTATATAGTATCAATAGCTGGATGATGTTCCAAGCAGAATTTATTCTTCACTCTAGTTATTACCAATGTATTCACACCAACTTCATAACTTGCTTTATTGAACAGTCTACTTGTTCGATATGGATCCATACTATCAGGTTTGAATTCTTTCTTCATGGTGGAATATTTCCTACTTTTGTTAATTTCCGTATTTTTGAAACCGTTTAGAAAAACCAAACCTTGCCTTTCCAGATACCCGCGAGATACCATCAATCATGTCACAATAGAATAAAGTGTGCGATCAGCCTCTCAGTAAACTACCATATTCAAATGAAAAAGATACTGGTGAATGGCGCAGACTTCAATATAACCGTCGGCCGATTAAATAGAATGAAGTTTTCCTTTATATTTTGCAAAGATGTTGAGTTCAATAAGGATGTAGGATCTGGTACAGACGGGTCGATCACAAATTCGGTATACAACCTGATTCCCTAACCTGAAAATGATGTAGGCTTGAGACGAGACAATCCATCGGTTGTCTGTCTAGCTGTTTTTAAGATCTATATTTGATCCATTTTCCAGACAACCTATCTATCCACATATCACCTTCCCCCATAGAAGAGATACATTACTTCGTGTCAAGGTGAAATCACACAGTCTGTTTTCTGGCTGACCGTTAGTGAGGGCGTAGACCGTTGTCACTTGCCATGTCTGTATCTTCTTCGGCTTCTTTTTCAAGCTGTTTTTCAAATTTATCCAGGACTACATCTAGTGGGAAGCCACTGGTTGCTGTATTTTTATAGTCAAGCATTTGTCATCGTAATTAGTTCTTGTGTCGTGTCCACATCTTGCTCCAACTTTGACACAATCCATAACATAATATCTTCCGTCAACCAGTCCTTCTATCCATTTTCTACGTCTTTCTCTGTAGTCTCTGGAAAACAAAGGTGTTTTGACGTTAAAGGATTCTGGGGCATATGAAGACTTAGGTGCAGTCAGCTTAGGTATCGAATTTTTATGTGCTGGTCATAGCCTCCTCCCCATCATTGCAAGAGGAGTTGTGACACGCTTGAGACGCTTGTCACCATTAAAATCGAGTTGAATGAAGACAGGCTTTTTTCCTTACTGTAATTTGTTTGGCATTAGAGCCTCCATCCTCTAATTTCTCTGCGGAGCATATTCTTCTAACTCGAGATTCACAAAATAAATTTGACATCAAAACAAAGATATTTTGGTAGAGAAATTTTTAGTCAATAGAAAGATTGAGCGAAGAAACATTGAATATTTAGAACTCAGTTTGCCATTGGAAGCGATCAGTCACGTTTCTTAGACTGCCTTTGACTTCTAAGTGGAAAAAATGAGATTTCAACTTTGAGTTTTGAAGTTCCAGTAGAGGTGGTATTGTTGTTTAATGTTTACTGGATGGGATTACTAATCTCATGACTGACCTCACTGTTTTACTGAGCTTAGTTTTGATTAAGCGAAATTTAGGGGGACGTCGGCTGAGAATCTAATCCCAAAGCATG